CAAGCCCAGTCCCACATGTCCTAGCGGCATGACCCTTGCCAAGGGAATGCCTCTGTTCCCTCATCTACGAAATTGGGACAGTCTGTGTCTCTTTAGGGCCCTGCTAGGGGTAGCACAAAATCAAGGGGTGCACGGGCCCCTGAGCCCAGTGTATTCTGATTATCATTGACCGCAGGCCCTGAGCTGTACGATGTGCTCCAAACACCAGGGTTCCAGCTTCCCAGACTGACCTGATGACAGAACCCTTAAGGAACAAAGACGAGACATCCTCCTTTCCAGCCCATGGCCGCCCGCAGGCAGCCCCTGCCTTCTCGAATCCCCGTGCCAACCCATCACCCACCATCATGCTCATTGCACAGATGCAAAAACTGAGGCCCGGAAAGAGGGGATTAGTTGTCCAAAGACACCAGCAAAGTTAGGATGTGAGTCCAAAGCCAGACCCAGACCTGAAAACTGACTTAAAAAGCAATTTTGGAAAATTGTTAAAAACAGACGATACTGGGGGGAAAAATGACCGAAGCACCGGTTCCTACCCTGGGCAACACCCCAGCACCCCTAGATGACCGGAACTGGCAGCCCTGGCTCTTAGGGCTGCGCTGGTTGTAGACATGTGTGTCATCCACGTCTTGGGACCAACCGGGAGGAAGCTAAGCGGCTGCGGGGCGGGTGGCAGAGGCTGGGGAGCGCCCTCACCATCTCGTGGCAGGCGCGACTCTTGAGGGCCATGGCCCCGTACTTGCTGTAGCACGTCTCCCCGCTGTTGCCCGCCAGCACTGCCATGTCCGTGCACGTCACGCACAGCAGCCCTGTGAGGGGGGCCCGAGCTGTGAGGACCCTCGCAGCACCGCGAGGCAGGCTCTCCACCCCTGCAGCAGCGTGGCCTCACCTCCTTCACTCACGGCCTGCACGGCAGCGTCCAAGAAGGGGGCAGGGCTGCCGTAGGGGTCCAGGTCGATGACGTCAAACCGCTCTGACAACTTCTGGTGCTGGTACATCAGCATCCTGGGGGCGAGAAGGCCAGGTCCTCAGCGCCCTGCCCCAGGGACCCGCTCCGTCCCCTATGAGTGTTCTCTCACTCGGTGCAACCGTTCTGGCCCGCACTGAGGGGCCAGCTGCCTCTGTTCAGATCCTGGCTGGCCCATTTGCTAACTGCATCACTCTTCCTCCCTGGGCCTTGGTGGACTCCTGTGTAGCAATCACAGTAAGGATAGCCAGCCGCGTTTCAAGCAGCTTATAGCTCTATTAACTCATGTAATCAAATATGGATTTGGAAGGATAGCTAGCTCCCTTTGTAAGTGACCAAAGGCAAACTCTCCCATCTTGTGTAGCCTGAAACTGCAGCCCATCCACCACCTTCCTCCAGCCCTCTCTGCCCCACCCCAGCTGGAGCATCTGGCAGAGGGAAGAGAAAAGCAGACTCCCCGCTGAGCAGGGAGCCTGAGGCAAGGCTCTTTCCCCAAACCCTGGGATCCAGAGGCCCCGCACTTAACACTTAACTGCTTAACTGACCTAGCCACCCAGGCGCCCCTCCTATCAGCCTTCAATACAACCAGGAAAGCAAATGCTTTTCATAGCAAAGACCTCTTTGTTTTCTGTAAAGGATCAGATAGTAAACATTTGAGGCTTTGTGGGCTGCAAGTGGTACCCTTTTTAACCCTTTAAAAATGCAAAATCATTCTTAGCTGGTGGGCTCTACAAAAACCTGGCCCCACAGGTGGTTGTTTGTAGGACCCCAGAATTAGAATATGAATGCCCCAAGGTCAGGGATTTTGTCCGTTTTGTTTACTGCTGCCTGGCACATGGTGGACCAGAGATCTGCGCCTGTGCTGGTGCCCGTGGTGCGTCTGAATAAGTACAAATACCAGAGGTTGGGAAGTCGAGTCTAAATCGGCAACCATGATGCCACACTTCTGGCTACACAAGCATCATCTCATTTAATCAACACAGCATTAGTATTGCAACTCCTGTAATACTAACATCCTCATTTTATAGACAGGGAACCCGGGTTCAGAGAGACTAAGGCACCCTCCCGAGGTCACAGAGGAAGAATATGACAGACTTAGGATTTGAGACCAGGCAGCCTTCTTCTAGCACGAGCTTGCCAGCCATCAGGCTCAGCTGCCCCAAACCTACCGGGCGTCTGCCTGCCTGGGATGCACCAGGTGGGCCACACCGTTGAGCTGCACGTTGCGGCATATGAGATCCACGGCTCGGGCAGAGGCATCGTTGGCAACCACAGACTGGAGTCCAGGCACCTCTCGTGCAAAGCGAATGGAACGGAGGCCAGAGGCTGCCAGACCCTCCAGCACTCGAAGGCCTTCCTGTTGGAGTAACCAGGGAGCCCCGCTCACATGGATCCCTCCTTCCTCTGCTGGGCCCCAAGGAGCCCCCACCACCCACTTCCTACAGCTCTCCCGCCACAGGAGCCTTCCTCACTCCATTACTGGAGGACTCTGGGGGTGCCACCTCCTGTGCTCAGGCCCCACCTCGCAGATCTCCCCCACGGCAGCTGTTCGAGGTTGGTCTTCCGGGGCCAGGTTTGCACCCTCTTTCAGTTCAGCGTTTTTCTCCTCTTGCTCTGACAAGTCCACGACCACCTTTTGCACGTCCTTCTCACCTGGCACCTTGACTGCAGCCACCCAGAAGCACAAGTCAGGGGACAGTGAAGCTCCCCCTGAGAAAGCTCCCCCTATTTCTCAGGAAACAGAAATTCAGGGAAGAAAATCTTTCTCAAAGCCCCTGGGGAAAGCCTGAAGGAAACGAGGCCAGGGCCTGCTGTGTGGCTGGAGCCTTTCAGGACTTTAAGCGAAAGGCGCCGGGGCAGGGAGAAAGCTCGGCGTGACCCCCGCCCACCAGGAGACTGGACCTCGACTCACTCTGGATTCCTTTGGCCGCAAGATGAACGCGAGCGAACTCGGTGATCACAGCACATCTGCAGAAGACGGACGGTTAGCTCACAACCCCCTCATCCTTGCAGTTCCACTGCCCTCTGCCAAGCTGACCCCAGGCCCTTGCTCACGTCAGGTCCCGGTTAAACTCCTGCACTGGGTTGTAGAAGACTTCGTTGGCGCTGGGGAAGGCTATCTTGGCGGCCCCCTCGGTGACCGTGGTCTCCTGAGCCTCGGATGCGCACTCTTCTCCGCAGGGCTCGGTCCCGTTCTCCATTTCGCCCGGATTCCGTAGCCCTTGCGTCTGTTCCTCCATAAACCGGGCTCTATAGAGACTGCAGGCGGGGCGGAGAGTCAATCTTAGCCACAGAACGATTCTCGCACGGGACAGCCGCGGAAGCCTCTCCCCGCCAAGCCTGTTTCGAGGGGGTGGGGGAGGGCACAGGAAGAGCATCAGAGAGCCGTGTCCTCGAGCCAGGTGGCCTATACCTCGATAAAGTTTAAGAAGACCCTGCGGCCTCGGTAAGGTGACACCACACCCCATTTTCGGGAGACCGGCCTCTGAGAAGCCAGAAGCCTTCGAGCTGGCCCAACCCCGACCTGTATCCTTCCCCGCGTCGCCCACGCCTTTCTCACCCTCTCTCGAGGTGTAGAGGACCGAATTAGTCTGGGTGCACGTTTCCCGGATTAGGACCTGGGCGTCGCCATGTTGGCACAGTGGGAGGGCAGGTCATATGATAGATGTTAGCCAATCAGTGATGCTACCTACAGTGGGTGGCCGGGATCAAAATGCACAGCGGAAAGCTCGGAAAGTAGTGTGGATAACCTCAATCACTTCGGCTCCCCCGGGAGGGGACGCATCACTCGCCCCATTTCACGGATGAGGAAGGTGAGGCTCAGAAAGTGGGCGGTAAGCGGAGAAATTCACCTACTGATCGGCTTCTGTGTATTGAGTGCTGTGAGCACATTATTTCAGGGCACTCTGCGGGAACAATTAAGGCTCTGAAGTTAGATTTATTGAGTTTGAATCCCAGTCCTACCACATGGTCTTGGGAAGTTACTTAAACTCTCTGGGCCTCACTTTCCTTACCTGCTAAATAAGAATGCTAGCTTCCAATATAGAGCAAAGATCAAACTACAGAATGCCTGGAAACTGTGCAAAGCAGCCCCTCTTACGTAGTAACCCCTGGGTAGGTTCTAACTGATGTAGGCGGAGAGCGTAGTGGTCTGCACTGCCTGGGTCTCAGTCCCAGCTCGCCTCACAACTTGTTATTATTCCTCTCTATGCTTAAGTTTGCCGATTTGCAAAATGGACAGAAGTTTTTAACGTTCGCTACTGGGTGGTTGTGAGTTTTAAACGAGTTAGTGCAGGTTAAATGCCTAGAACGGAATCTGGCTTGGCATATACATAAAATCGTTAACTTTTATTGTCGATTCTTGAGCCGGGGTTTGATTCCTGACACATGCCACCACGTACCTACTGGTGATCTTGAGCAGGTCTTTTTCATCTCTGTGTGCCTCCCTTTCTATAAAGTGTGTGTGTGTAATGATTTCGACTTAAAAATGTTAGTGTTAAGTTTAAACGAGATAATTCCCATAAAGAGTCTAAAACGGTGCCTGGCACAGTAAGTAGAATTCATTGTTGTTTTCGTTTTACAGGAAATGAATGTTCCGAAAAGCAGAGAGACTTGTCCAGGGTCGCGGAAGTAGAAAGTGGCAGGGTCGGGAGTCAAACTCTCCTATAGAGCCAAGGTACTCGCGGAGACCGTGAAGGGCGAAGGGGAAAAAACGGGAGATGGAGGGAGAAAACGGAGATGGGAGGAGGGGAGCCTCTCGGCGCTCAGCTGGCCTCGCCTCGGGGGCGGGGCCTGGGGCGGTGCGGGGGCGGGGCCGCGGCCGCTCCTCCCCGGCCGGGTTGCGGCGGCGGCGGCGCGGCTTGCGCTCGCTCGGCGCTCGGCTGGGGCGGCCTGGCCCACAATGAATGGCCGCCGCGGCTGCCGCTGCTGCTGAGGCGGAGGCCGCGGAGGCCGCGGAGGCGGAGGCCGCGGAGGCCGCGGAGGCGGAGGCCGAGGCCCCGGCGCAGGGGGGGCGCGCCCCGGGCCCAGGCCCGGCCCCAGCCGCCGCTGCGGAGCCCGCCGGGAGCCCCCGGAGCGCGGCCACGGCGCAGGTGAGGCGGCTCGCCCCAGGCCCGGTTCCGGCCTCGTCTCGCCGGGGCGGCCCGAGGGCATCCGAGGGCTGGCTGAGGGCTGAGCGGGGAGGGCTGGGGGGGCTCTCCTCTGACAGAAAAGGAGCCGGGTCCGCAACCTGCACTGTGCCCGGACCGGCGAGTGCGGAGAGGCCCGGCCCTCACTAGCGGCCTTGAGCGTCCAGTCCCGGGCCGGGCCGTGGGGTTTGGGGGTGGTGGTGGGATCGGGCCCAGACCTCCCCCCACCTCGCTTTCGGCGTTGGGGAGGCGCAAGGTTGGGCCGGGGCAGGTGCCGGAGGCCTGGGAAGTTGGAGGGCCGGAGGAGGAAAAGTGAGGAGGCGCCCGGGGAGGCCGGGGGTGGGGGGGAGGGGAAGGAGGAGTCGGGCTTTGGGTCGGCGGAGTGGGGGAGGAGGGGAGAGTGGCGCGGCCGGAGGGAAACGGCCCGGAGGGGGGGCGGGGAGGGGCCGACTCGCAGGTAGTGTCCGGGCGCCGTAGGAGGTGGGTGGGTCAGGTTACAAGCCTGGGGGCGGCTGAGGAGAAGCCCAGGAAGTGGGGCAGGGTGGGTGTGGGCGGAGTTAGTTCGGGTGGGGGCTGATAGGAGATCCCAGAGATGTTTGCAAGGGTCGTATGAGGTTAGGGCTTGGAGAGGTGTTGGGCGGGGGGAGGCCAGATACGGGGGCCATCAGGTAGGTTGAGGAACTGCTGTAGGAGCTTTGAGAGAGGGGGAAAGCAGCGCCTTTGCGCTGGGCTGGTGGCCGCGAAACGCGAATGGGGCGTCCCGAGAAACTAGTGTGATCAAAAGGCACATGCCACCTCTTCCCCCACCAGGTGTTACCTCTGGACCAGGTCTGGGGTCTTTTTTCTTCATCCCACTCAGGCTCTGGCTCTCTGACCTACCCTTTGGGCAAGCCTCTGCTGGCTTTTCCGAGGTGCTGGCCCAACCGGTGGGTGTTTGTGTGGGCAGCTTGAGAAATTCTAGAACACCTATCTCGGGCATATGTATTTGCAGAGGGCAACCCAACGGCCCTTACCTGAGTATCTTGATACTTCACTTTTTGTGAGCAGAGCCTTGGGGCTCAAGTCTAAGGGATGGGACCTCACAGGCACCATCTTATACCATGGCCTCCCAGTCCGGGAGGTGAGCCTATAAAGCTCTGTTCATTGTGTTTGGATGCTCCTGATGGGGTGAAGGCAGGCCACTGAGGAGATCAAAACCAGTATTTACACCCTGGCCCAGGCCTTTGGGGCTACTGGCCCCAGGGCTCTGCCTGTGGGGTGCTCTTCCTGGGTCAGGCCCCAGGATGAGCTCACTGATTGCTCACCACCACTGGGTCAGCTTAGGTCCTCTCCCTGGTAGGAGGAAGGTGAGGGCTCCGGGTGGCTTGTCCCAGGTCACCCAACTAGACATTGGCAGACCAGGATTGACTGGCACTCAGCTCAAACCCACAGTCTCCTGGGCTGGCCTCTGAGGAGCATGACCGGAGGAACTCCTACTGTTCTGGATTGCCTGGTGGGAATTCTGTGCCCAAGGCCTTTTCTCTTGCCCATCCCAAGGGATAGGGTTGTACCTTTGTGGACAAAGGGGTGTCCCACACACTCTGGTGTGTCCGCGAGGGCTGGGATAGCAGAAGCTTCTGTCTCAGAGGCTTGGTCACATCTCATTTTACGCCCCCCACCCCACCCGGTCTTCTGGGAGCCAGGAGGTCAGAGGTCACTGTAGGCCCGCAAGGGGAGGCAGTTAGGAGGATGGGCCGGGCTCCAGAGCTGCACCTTGCTTTGGTTTTGTGGTTGTCTTTTCCCCTCTTTGGTCCCGGGTCAGACCACCACAGTTTTCCTTCTCCCTGGGCTAATTGTTACCATCGTGTCCTGGGTACAGATTTCGGATCTTGAGCCCCTGAGACAAGAGCCACAGACTGCTGGGTGAAGTGGTATCACCCAGGCCTGGTTTGTAACCCTCATTCCTTGCCCCCGCCCCCTGCCCCCCCCACCCGCCGTCTCCCTGTAGTTCCTAGAACTGACCCCACCTGGGCCCTGCTCTCCTCCTCTCCCTGGCTGGCCTCCTGGCTCTGAGAGGGGGAGGAACTGGGCTGCAGCCCCACTTAAAGATGCTTTTTCCCTGTTTGGTTGGGCCTAGGTTGGCTTCTGGGGCTCAGGAGTGGGTCCTGAGGCGGGGCGTGGCTATCTCTGGTCACAGAGGCTGGGGGGGTGGTGGGTTCCTGACCGGGGTGTGTGGATGGCAGAGGAGGGCAGTGGCTCCTAGCTGCACCTAGAGTTAGAGAAGGCACTCAAAAACTACTTTTCTGTGAGGATGTAGGGCCACACAGACCTGGGGCACCAGAGAAGGCCAGAATAGCAAGCACTACAAGTAAAAGGACCTGTGGGACAGTTTTATTTCCCTAGGGTGTCGGCTACCTGCTGGGGCCAAGGGAGCAGTCCTGAATAATATCCTGGTGGGGGGGAGTGGAGAATTTCAAATTGGGTGGTCAGGGAAGGCTTGTGGGAGAACTGAGCCCTGAATAAGAAGGAGTCAGCCTGGTGGGGGGAAGCTGGGGCAGGGAGGAGCGAACGTTCTGGGCAGAGGGGACAGCACATTGAAAGCCTTTATTGAGCCTGTGCCAGCTTTCTGCTAAGTTCTCTAAATATCTTGTGTGAGGGGTGACCCTGGTGTGGAGATGAAGACCCTTAGTGCCATTTTCAGGAAAGCGCCCAGTCTCAGGGTTTCCTGGATCTCCCCACTGCCCCTAGATGCAAGTCCATACCCCTTGGCCTGCATCCAGGCTTTTTAAAGTCTGGGGCCTGAGCCAGGCTGTGAGGACGGCTGAGTTTCTGTCGGTCTTGGAGAACCTGGGGGGGGGGGGGGTTTGCTCCAGCCAGGTCTGACTCGGAGTTCATCAGGTTCGGTGCCAGAGCGAGTGATGGAGAAGGGAGCCTGTGTCTGAGGCAACGATGAACCTCCTTCCCAGGCTTGAAGACAGGTCGGCAGTGCTTGAACAGCTTTTGTTCTCTGTCTCGGGTCCTTCCTGCTCCTCATCACCCTGATCCCTTCCCCCCTGCCCCAGGCCTTTGGTGTCTGTTGTGCCCAGCAGGAGCGAGCAGGCCCATCTCCTGCCTCTGCTTCTGGGTCTCCTGGCTGAGAATGCCATCCCTCCATCTTCCCCCGGAGAGACTTCCGAGCTGCAGAGGCTGTGAAGTGGGACCTGTCTGGTGGTGGTTGCAGACTGGGTCCAGTGTTTGGCTGTGGTCGTCGTCCCATCTCTGCTGTGCTGCCTCCTTTGGTGAAGGCCTCAGCATCCTTGAGAGATCCGAGAGAGCCCTCTGTGAGGACAGCAACTCTGTTTTCTGAACTAAGCAGGGGTTGGGTAAAGGTGAGCAAACATGGTATTAATGGACAGTCTGCTCCCACCATTCGCACCACTTGCTCGGCCCTGACACCCTGGGCCTAGGTTGTAACCTTGGCATCTCCCATTTCCTCCTCTGATAGTGGGGACCGGCAGGCATATGTCTGCAGAAGTAGTTCTCAATCAGGGATGATTCTACCTCCTCTTAAGGGATGCTTGGGGAATGTCTGGAAACATTTTTATTTGTCACAGCTGGGGCTGGTCTTGGCCTCTGGTGGGTGTAGAGCCCAGGGATGCCATTCAGCAACATAAAAAATGTACAGGGCGGTTCCCCTCCCCAAAGAATGCTCAGTCCCAGTGGCTGCAGGGCCAAGGTCAGGGGATCCTTGTTACATTGTTACCAGGAAGAACGCCGAGTTTGGTGTCCGGGGTGTTTGATGATACTGGGAAGTCACTGGGTGGGGAGCCCCCAGGAAGTACTGCTCGATTTATCACGAAATGGCATGAGGTTCCGGGAGCTGGCAAGTGCTGTAGGATGTCTCCGCTGCTGTCTGAGACTGCAAGGGGCTTCGGGGGCAAACAGAAGGGGACATAACTAATAATCACAGCTGGTGTTACTGGGCACCCGTCCCAGGGTAAGCATCAGTCCACCCGTGTTACTTGCTGGTTTAATCCTTGAAACAGCCTTATGTGGCAGGTGCCGCCGTTCAGTCCATTTTATAGTAGGGAACACTGATGTCGGGGGTACATACTGCTGTGGGTGAATGTTTTCTGGCAGTGTAGAGGAAGGGGAGCCGAATTCTAAGCAGGAAGCTTTGAGCTTCAGGTAAGATAAAAGGATTCGGATTCTCAAGCCCTGCTGAGAGCGCCACCCCCCCCCCATGGTCTCCCAGCACATGTCAACAAGCCCCATCCCAGCAGCCACGTGCCCAGCAGCCCTGCCAGCCTCCTTCCTGGGCTGCGCAGGTGTCCCCTCAGGGCCTTCACGCTTGATGCTCCCTTCACCACCCTTGGTGTGGCTGCTGCCACGGGGTCCTTCAAGTCTGAAGGCTCACGCGTGGATTAGGGTGTTAACTCAGGAAGGTGGGCCAGTGGGGAGGGGGAGGGCTGCTGCCCATCTCCTTCTCTGAGGAGCTGCTGCAGACAGGCCAGATTCCCCAGGGCTGCAAGAGAGTGGGCGGGGAGAGGGAGAAGCACTGGGCTAGACTGCTGGTTCCATGGAGGTGGCAGGGAGGGGAGGAAGGGTGGAGAGTGGCTGCGGGAGGCTGGGCAGAGGAGAAGGCCACTCCCAGAGCAGCAGAAGGACCAGCACCCTGTCTGGCCCTCAGAGGGCACCCAACACCCCATTTCTGGGGAGGACACATCCAGTGAGGACAAAGAGCCCCATCTCTGGCCTTGGCCTGTCTTGGCTTCCCTTCTTGACTCTGGCCTCTTTGAGCCCCAGTTTTCCCATCCACAAAATGGGTCTGGTCGCAGTGGCTGCATGCCTTGGGGAGTGATGGGACCATGTAGAGTGTGAGCTTGGTATGGGCCAGCCGTGGTCAGGAAGCCTCAGCTGCTGTTACCACTGGACTCTGGGAGAAGAGCCAGACACTACCTCAGTGCCATCCTGGGCCTTGCTCTCCTCACCCAGAAAATGGCGGG